ATTTCGGGCGGGGGGAAGACCGTTGCCGGCCGAAATGGGGGGGTTGGATAGAAGATTAAGTCGCGTGCGAAAAAGATTTGCTAGAATATTTTTGAGTCCAAAAACGAAAAGATTTAAACAGAAGGAAGAACTGTTTTAAATATATCGATTTAATATCCTTTGCCTCATTCGATATACGAAAGACTCCTGTTTAATCTCGCGAGACTCGCCGAATTATTCGACCGAATAAAACCTAAAATTTCAGTCTTGGTCTCGTGAAAGCGATGAAAAAAAAAAGCTTTGATTTTTAGCGAGATTTCCGAATTTACAGCTTGATTTTTAGCACAATTTTTAAATTTTCAGCACAATTTCTAAAGTTTTAGCTTGATTTCGGAGTTTTCAGCATAATTTCGGAGTTTTCAGCTTGATTTTCAGCACAATATTTTAATTTTATGCAAGATTTGTGACTTTCAACTTGGTTTTCAGCTTAATTTTCGAATTTTCAGTTTCATTTTCAGCACAATTTCTGAATTTTCAGCTTCATTTTCAGCACAGTTTTTAAATTTTAAGCACAGTTTCTGAATTTTAAGCTTCATTTTCAGCACAATTTTTAAATTTTCAGCACAATTTCCGAATTCTCAGCTCGATTTTCAGCGCAATTTTTAAATTTTCAGCACAGTTTCTGAATTTTCAGCTTCATTTCCAGCACAATTTTTAAATTTTCAGCACAATTTCTGAGTTATCAGCTCGATTTTCAGCAAAATTTCTGCATTTTCAGCACGACTTTTGAAATTTACAGCATGATATTTCGGAATTTATAACCGTAAATTCGGCAATAATTACGAATTTACACTTTAAAAAAACTCGTTAACATTTAATATTTTAACACGAAATTTAATTAAAAAATAAACTTTAAAAAACTCCTACATTAAATCTACAGTGAGAAGAAGACGATAATAGAAGAGACTGAAAAACTAGTATCGAGTGAAGTAGTGTTTTGTGGAAAGCGAAAACCGAATCGGTGGCAGAAATTGCGTTGGAAGGAAAGGGAGAGAGAATGAAAAAAAAAAGTGGAATTTCTTTCCCGGATCTAAAAGAGTCCCGGACAGAAAAAAGAGGATTTGTTGCAGAAAATCCGGATCCCTATCGATTTCTATCGCACGAAATCGCGCTCGGATCAAAGTATTTGTATGTCTTTCGGCCACCGAAATCGCCCCTCCGAACGGGAAATTCGAGCGCTAAAAATTCCCCAACATTTATTCTGAAAATCTCGGGTCAATCGTTCTACACGCGCCATATTCTTTCCCCAATAAAAGCGACATTTTATCACCTAGCGGGAAAGTAACGTTTAGCTTATCGAAGCGAAATTTTAAATCGGAATCGCTAAAGGTTAAAGAAGTTTTTTTTTACTTTTACTTTTACTCCCGCAACCTCTTAAATCCCTCTTTAATTTATTAGTAAAGAGAAGGATCTTGGAAAATTCGATCACGTTCTTTCCTAAGTACAAGTTAATGCCCACCTTACATCGAAACGTATGAAAGCTATTACGTAAATTCCTCTCCTACTAAAATATGTAAATGAAGAAAAATAAGTGAGATCTGATGCCACGCGCTACAAAATCTCCCCCCTCCTCCTCCTCCTCCTTTAAAATCTCTCTATCTCGATTTACCGCTAGACGGGTTGAGGATCTTTTCCGGATCTCTACGCTCTTTCGACTACGTTACGTTTCGTAACCGTATTTGCTGTTGATGTTTGCCGTCACCGGCTTTGATGCCAACATAAAATCCTAACGACGTTCTCAAAGATGCTCCTACGCGGATAAATGCAATAATCTTGGTACTAAATCCCGAATTAGTGTCATGTAGCACGTGATAGACCCCAATCGATGGTCTCTGCTCCCATTTCTGTGAAAGATTTAAAATTTGGGAGTGTTTTTTTCGGTTTAACATGAACTAGAATCCATCCCCAATCTTCCTTCTCCTCCGTTTACACGTTTGCGACAATTGTTTAAGAGTTTGCACCCCTCCAGAGGAAACCATTCACCTATAAAAGGCCACTATCCATTGGGTTTTTTATGTAATAAGTAGTTACTTTGGCACGGTCACTGTTTAAATACTGCAAACATAGAGTCATCCTCACTGTTTCTAAACAAAAATAGGGCTTAAAAGGAAACTGACCCCTATTTAGGTGTTAGAAAAGTGGAGAATTGTGGCCTACTCCTCGGCGAGGGAAGAACTTACGACAGTGTTTAACGGAAACAAAACAATCACCCACATTATAATTGTTCCAGCAACTTTTACAATAGAAATCCTCACCCTCCATTGAAGTAGAGGGGTTTAAAATCGAGTAAAAAAAGGGTTGAAGGTATGCAAAAATATACATTAACATTCCACGAGACGTCGTCGTCGTCGTCATTCCGAACGGTTCGAAAACGTGTTACAGTAGAGAAGTGTCGTAGATAAATCATCCGTCGTCATCCACCCCCGACTGTTTAACACGTTACCACCTAAGGGGATACAAAAACCTAATCGTAGTATATATTTAAACGTTAAAGTTCCTAGTGTAAACCTGTCAGTAGTATTGTATAAAACACCGGAAAGACAGTGTAATTTATTAATTAGAAACCGGAAAAAGTCGGCTGAATAAGTAAAACACTCGAATATAAAAGAAAACTATTGTATTTTGTACAGAGAAAAATCTATTCTTTAGGAATTTCCTACGTTGCGCCTATTAACTAGAATAAATATCCTCTCCCTTTCATTCAAATACAATAGCATTCGAGAGAAGAATTATCATTTAGAAAGTGTTTGCCATTCTATTCTTTAATAAGGGAAGATAAATAAAGACACTAGGAATAATTCCACACTTTACTCGTACAATATCCATTAGTTAAATGCGTATAAACTCGATAAACCATACGACAAACAAACGTAAGAAATACAGTACGTATCTGTGACTCATTTACACGACGTAAACACCGGTAGAGAGCATGTATTAAATTATACGAGGTGTCTTAAGTCCTTCATAAAATTCCGCGTAATTCCACGCGAAGAAAGGGGGCAAAACATACAAATAACTCTTGGTTATTAAAATTCATATCGTCCAAGTGTTAAACGGGTTGAATCTACGCAAAAATGCTCCATTAAACTTTCGTATATAATATAATAATAACTTCACCCCGCACGTTCACCCCCCCGTTAATTACTAGTCGAAAAAAGAGGGAGGGTAATTACACACTACTCGCGACTTTTTTAAAAATTATTTATGACTTATTTACTAGGTAATAGCGTCACGTTTAGCAGGGATATGAAATTTGCATGGACGAACCGAACGTAACTTCGTTAGTACACTTGCAGCATGAATAATATACGTATCTGTACGTGTATTATATAGAACTGTACTGTACAGTCGCTTGATATACACGAGAAAAACATAATAGTAATTCGCCTACCCCCTTTCCCGGATGATCGTAACACATCCCCGTTTTTAAGTAAGACGAAAGCGTAACTCTTTCACAGGGAAATAATACAAGGTCCACGTCCACCCCCCTCCCTCCCTCCTCCGAACACACGTTTGTAAAGAGCGTAACCGATTCGACGTTCATAAATATTCAAGATGTTACGAAACTAGGAAAAGTTACGATCGATACGGTCGGACAATTACTCGTCGTAATAAAAAAATGATGCGCCGCGGAGTGTTCGTGTAATGCCATTGTAAATAAAAGATTAACTCCCGAATATAAAAGAGAGTTTTGTACACGACAGGCGACAAATTTTCGCCCTCGTCCGTTACACACACACAAAAAAACCTCGCCATTTTCTATGTAAATTCGTCTTCTACCACACGATAATTTGCGTAACCGATGCGACTATCCCCCCTTCTATATTCGACAGAGGGTTACGCGAGAGAGAGAGGAGAGAGAGACAATCGTTTACAGTGTTGTCAATTAAACTGTGTAATGGGAAACAATGAAAATCTTGACTAATTATTGCTGAAGTGATGCGAGTAGTTTTCTATTGTTTTCTTATAGGATGGAGTGATTTCCCTTGTTTATTTATACTTATACACAATGAAAATTACGAATTTACGATTAACAATTAACCTAAATCTCGAGAATATTCGTTTATTCACGCACACGTATTAATTATTTATTGTGTTTAGTCAATGGGTGACGTTTGTAGGCTCTTTTATATTGTCCAACAAATTTTACTGTTTTTTTTGTTTACAATTTCGGGTACGAAAAGGGGTGAAAATATACAGGACGAGTGTATTTTCTTCGGTTGACACTTTCTGTGACGGCTGTGAATTCGAATGGGACCAATTTTACACCCAATTTTCGGTTTTATTTAATTACAGCGCGTGCTTTTCTTCGGCACCCGCTGTTAGAAGTGTGTAAATAATACCTAGATTTTCCCACCCGAGTTAATATACTTTTGTAATAAAAAGAAAGGAAAGTTTGCTAGTAAAGACGTAACCAGATCGTCACCTGTCTTTATAGTGTATAATGTAAGAGTTACGCGAAGTTACTATAGAAAATTAAGTCGTTCTGTTTACTCGAAGGTAGTGTCTTGTCGCCTGTAAAACGGGTAATACCGAGACGAATTATGAGGTGGTGACAAAAAGGAAGTGACGTTTAAGTGACGTATAAGAAGAGGGAAAAGGAAGATCCCAAACCGTTGTCTGTCCGTAACGCAATACTGCTGGTATCGGTGGCGCGCGTAGACGGATAACAGTAGACGGGGGTAGGAAATCGATTGTTTCCACTTCCCCCCCAAGAATAAGGTAAAAGAAAAGAAAAAAAAACAAAAAAAAAAGTCGAGTTTAGTCGGATCCTTCCTTTTTTGGCCCCGGTCCAAAAGGCGAACTCGGTTCGGACCGGAACCGGGCGTGACGTCCCGTCGGGGGGTAGAGGGTTACCGATACCCCGCGCCGGCTCATTTCCGTCACTTCCGGCGGCGGAAGGAAGTGGAAAGATCTTCCGCTTCCGGCGCGCACGACGCGACAGGCAGGGGTGGACTTACCACATTGATGAGCTGAATGAAAGACAGACCAAATTGCACTTCCACCGTCTCTTTCATCACTTCCACGGGCCTGATGAGCTTGTTGTAGTCGCGAAACAGATCTCTGACCAGTCTCTCTTCGTCTTCGGAACAGTTCGCTGAAAGGAACCACACCAATTTCTCGTTAATTCCTCCTGTCGCTCTCTCTTTCGCGCGCGCGCTCTCGAGCGCCGCGCCGGCTCGGCGCGCCGTCGGGGGTTTGGCAACCGACGATAATTAAATTACAAATAAATTGGGCCGAGCGCCACGGCCGAAGGCGTCGGCGGTTCGTGACCCCGCAGGCGGAGCGTGCGCCGGCCGATAATCTCGATTTAACGGCGCAAAACGTCACGCAATATGGGAGCGGCGCGCGTGGCGAGCTACGCGGTCGACGCCGGTCGCGACCCCGGCTCTTACGCCGTCGGTATCGATTGTCGGGCCACACCGCTACCTTCGCCGACGCCGTTCGACGCCTCCCATTCTCTTTTAACCGGTCGGCATTCCCGTTTATCCGGCAATTTCCTCTCGAATCCTATTCGGACGGCGCGAGGGAGAGCGGCCGAAACTGCAGTTTTGGTAGCAAATCTCGCGAGGAGAAGAGGGGGGAGTGAGTGACTTCTCGAGAAGCGACGCCGAGATGTATCGATCGACCTCCTATTTTTAACCGGAGCATAATTAAATCCGTCGAGGATGATCCGAGTAATCGGAGGAAGATAATCCCTCCTCCTCCTCCTCCTCCTCCTCCCGGTTCCTATAAAAGTATTGGTAAACAAAATCCCGTATAGTCCGCCATTAAACGGGTCGGTCACGCGCGCCCGTTTTCCACCCCTCGATCGAATTATCCGGGAAAAATTCCGATTATTCTCCACGCTTTCTAGAAAATCAACGTTTTCGTCCATTTTCAAGGGGAAGAGGCCTGAGCGCGCGCGCCGCTTCTCGGTCCAGAGGAGAGCATTTAACTCCAAGGTGGAGGCCACAAACCAGGCCCCCGGTAAGGGGGAAGAAACAACTTTGCTCCCCGAGCTATCACCCTTCGGAGGAACTCAAAGATATTTCCCTACCGCGGGGAGAATCGGATAAGGCTTAGTTTCCAGATCGGCAGCGGCGCGCGGGGCGGAGAACGCCAGGCGGCCCGCGCGCGCTACTTCTCGGGCCCGAATCTTCCGATCGGCCCGCACGCGGGGTACGACGGGAAGAGGAAAGAATAAGGGAGGATTCCGACACCGTCTCCGACACCGGGATGCGGGAAGAAGGCAGTTATCGATCCTCCGGCATCTTTGGCGGGGACGAACGAACCGCCGCCGTCGAGGCCCCGAGCGCCCGGGCCCAGGCGGGGGTAGGAGAGGCCCGAAAACGGCCGTGACCGGGCGGAGACGGCGAGCGCCGGGGACCGGGGTAGAAATTTAAAAGAAAAAAAAAAAAGAGGGAGAGGGGGCCGGACGGGGCGAAGCCTTCCGCGCGGGGGTGCGGGCCGGTGGCACACACGTCGCGGAGGGGAGGCGGACGGGTCCGAGGGAATTTTCCGCGGTGCCGAGTGGGAGAAGCGCCGGCGCGACGGACGGGCCGCTCGTCCTCCTCCGCCGACGATCGGCCATTTTGGGCATCGATCGGCGGGGCAGAGGAATCGGACTCACCTGGAAATACCAACGCCGTCGTCAACAGCCAGACGGCCGAGAAGCCCGCAGTCCTCATTACTCCGACAGTCCTGTCATTCCCCGGGACTACGTGAACACGCACTCACACACACACCACTCCTTCGGCGCGGTCGCTAGCGTTGTCTCCGCATTGTCGCTGACGTGATAGTGGCGCGATGGTCGCCCTCCGACTGTACGGAGAATCGGCTACTCCTGCTGGCTCTTCGCATTCGTTCGGGGGAGTGGAGGCAGACGGCCGGAGGAGCCGGGCGCCCGCCGTCCCTCCCGTCCCTCCCGGGCCCGCCGGGCCCTTCCCCCGCTTCCCTTCCCGCCCCCCGCTCCCGGCAGGAGTCAAATTCCGGGCCGGAACGGCGGGGCCACCGCCTTCTTTCCGCTTACTCTTCCCACTTCCGGCGGGCCGGGAGTCGGGCCGTTCCTTTACGGGCTCGGAAGGCTCGGAGCGTTTTTTTCTCTTCCGGTTCCGGGGCGAAACCCGCGCGACGGGGGTGGTTCCGTCCCCCCGTTTCCTCTTGAAACGGCCCGGAAACGGGGGAATTCCTCTGCCGCTTCGGGGTGTAAATAAACGTTAACAATTTGTATCGATTGCGTTGCGAAGATTGTTTATGACGTAGCTCAGATTATAATCAATTGTTATTTTAATACGGGAATTACGTTGTAAAACGTAACGCGTACAACGTAACCGCCGATCTGACGTCGCTCGCCCTTCTACTCGCGTGTTTCTCCCCCCGAATTTAACCCCCTAAATATCAAACGTGATTTAATATTTTCCTTTGTATATTCGAAAAACACGGGCGAAGTGTTTACGAAAAAATATCTCCCTCTTTCGTCACGTTTCCTGGTAACGGCTCTCGTTTCGCGTGTCTGAAAATACCCTGAACTTCCTACCCGGATTATAATTATTATCCCTACTCGTTTCATATTTGAGGGGGAGGAGGAGGATGATCCCGATTTGCATCTGGACCCGGGGGGCGATGACGTGGCGTGTTAACGATTTCTCTCGAATTACACATTAATTAAACGTTAGCGTGCTGAGCGAATAAGATTTTAGCTTGGTTTGAAGCTAGAGGAATCGAATGATTACGTGGCTATCGAACTCGCCCCCTTATTTGCATATAGAGCTTACCCTCAACTCACGAAAGGGGTCGTGACCTTTCCTATTTTTTACCGACGTCATTACATATAAACGATAGAAATCGCCATCAAAACACTACAATCGATTAATTATAAAAGCGAAAGACGTGTTACGCCAGTTAATTTTAACGAAATAGCGTAACGTAACGACAAAATCGCTTAGAAGTTACGCGACTTCTCTCTGTTTTAGCTTTAATTTATCGGCTCGTAACTCGAGATTTTATATAGTAACAATGTTCGAAATTGGCTTTTATTACCGTAACGCACTGAGACGTAATTATATATATATATATATATATATATATACTTTTTTTAAACGTAACGTATTACGTCGTGTTCCGTGCTGCACTCTACTAAAATCACTATTATTTCGATCCGGAATTACAGTATACGTAACAGAGGGGGATACGTAACAATAGACTGGTAAATTGTATATTGTTACGTAGACTACAATGTAATCTAGCGATCGGATGGGTTCGATTTCCGTAAAATTTCTTAAGAAATTGTGTTTTGTTAACCGGAAACACGTGTTAGTTTCCGGGTAGATTTAACCCTCTTTCTATATTTTAACCTTTAAACCCGATGACGTAAAGGGTTAATTAATTGCTTGCTTTTCCAGGCAAATAATTGACGATGATTTTTTGATACCGGAACCGGAAACGTAATTCAAAATTGACACCGTATAATTCTGACGTCGTTCCAAATGTTCCTTGGCTCGGAACTAATGGAAATTTTGGCACTGGAACGTTCGATTACGCTATGTTTCCTCAATTATATATCTATCTAACCTAGATTTTCAGTGTCAATACACTAAAAAAAAAATAATAATAAAACACTAAACACACGAGTTTACATAAAGGTTATAAGCAATAATACATAATTTCTTTTACAGGGAATTAAATTGTAAATATATAAAATAACACCCGAAATTTCTTTTGTGTTTTCCTTGTGTGGAATATTCATTTTTTAAAAGTAAACACACACACACAAGAGTCAATTCGTAATTTGTTCATTTACATTACAATAGAGTGTTTCGATTTGAAGTTACTTAAGAAACACAAGGGGATACGTAAGATGTTTTTTACTTAATTAACCGATTTAATCTTATTAATTACGTTATATTAACAATAGAAAACACTTGATTAACAATAAAATACTAGGAGTATCTTCTATTTTGGATATATATTTTTTTTCTTTTTGTATTAATGTAAAGGAATAACGCGACATTTTCCAAGTGTTTATCAACTGAATGACAGGATATATCTCTCCCGAGTGCAATCCGTATAGTACAGTACATCCCTCCGTTTCCATGGAAATTCCAGTGTTTTTTTTTTCTTTTTTTTAGTGTTTCATCTAAACATTTTCCCGTAAAATAACAATAATTCAGTTATTTAAATTTAAAAACACAATACTAATCCTGCCTTTAGAAGCAACCCCCCACGTGATAGATGCTCTTAAAATTGAATTATAATCCCTTCCCCCATAGAGAAAGTGGCTTCTGGATTATCTTGGAAGTGTCTGTTATCCCGATCTTCTCTTAGAAGATGGTGACGTATTCAACTTTCATCCCCTATTGATCTGGAAACACATCGACTTGTAAGAATGTCATTGTTTCTGTGTTTCGCATTTTAGTTTACGTCGAATTAATGATACCATAGAATAGAGTGATGCAATATTAAAATCGCTGCGGTGAAGCAGGTGGCAGATATTATCGGACATCTGCTTAACGATCGAGTAGAACGTTTGTGACAGAAGATCTAACACATCTTCCAGCAAAAATACCCATTTTTCAGGCTAGCAGACCTTAAAAACAAACTGGTAATTCCTAGAGGTTAAAGGTCGTAGAATAAATTAAACGCCCACCCCCCCAAAAAAGACAATGGAATGTTTAGTTTCCGCTCTTAAGGGTGTCGGTTTATACGTCAAATATTTATTTATCTGGTGTTGTTTACTTATTAGCAAACAGCCCACTCGATCCTCACCTAAAGTAAAAATAAATTAGCCGTCTGGCCATTGTTTTTGACGTCATACAAGCGTTTTTTTTTCCACCCTCGACGTGTGTCGACTCGTATTCACGTGATCTCCATTGTTTTCTGCCATCTTTCAAATCGTGGAAGGTGTTACTTTAACAATTCTATTATTATTTTGGGTCCTACAGAGGAGTTAAGAGCTGGGCATTACACCTACGTAATCCGATTTCGAGTTAGGGCCTCCTCGTTAGAACTAAGAGGCCTCGCCTCCTATGTTGTTGAATTTCAACTATTTTTTGGGGTATTCGTGTGCCTTAAAAGAGTTTTTTTCAGGCTGTCTCAATCGATATGAAATTCTTAATCTCCGCCATCACGGATGCTTGAATAAGACCATCGACGGTTCCCACCTAATCAACGTGGATTTTTTCAGGGTTTTCTTCACATACTTGCCTAAATAGGTGCCAGTTTCTTGTAGAAATCACTCCCTAAAGGTGCCATCATTCTTGAATGCTCCTTTGCTCACCTTTGACGAGTGTTTTTCAAGCCGTCTCTACATCCAATTCTTAATCTCCTCATTGCCATGCCACAATGGATGCGTGGATAAAATCATTAAACAATGGTCGAGGGTTCGAACCTAATCAACGTGAATTTTCTTCACATATTTACTTAAATATAATCCAATTTCTTATAGAAATCTCTTTAGGAAGGTGCCATCATCCTTGCAAATAAAGCAGATCCTTTGCATACCCTTGGCATAAAGTAAAGCAATTGTCTTTTATACCTTAAAGATTGAAGTTTTTTTGAATTAATTTTGATTTTAAATCACACAAATTTCAAATTTCCAGATGATTTGAGTCGAAAAGAATAGAGAAAACTAGAGTTAAAAAGAAAGGAATGGCAAGAGGAATACAAAAAAAGTAAAAGAAACTCAACACGAAGCAGCGTGGTCTAGCAGCTTCAAATTCAATAATACAGAACTCTAAATATTTAATATAATATAATAAAATTCTCTTCACCAATAAAATCCAGAAATGAACAGATAACTTCGAACTTATTCTAACTTTCTATATATACACAGGAAGATGTTGAAGGACGTCTACATATTAAACTAAGGATTTTCGACACTAGAATTACTACTTGTAAGGAATTTCTCTTAAGCTTGATTGGCATGGATCGATATATGAAATTTTAAAGTATACCTTATGCTTAAATAATTAATTCTGTTTATATTGCTACCGTGTAAAAGGAGTTCAGCGAGATGATGATGAAGATGATAGAATAGATATTCTACATTTACGATGGTATATGGTATCCTTTAAAGTGGATAAAACAGGTTTTTAACACCTAAATAGAGGACCATTTTATCATAAAAGTACCTAAGGAGGCACCCCTTTTTTTACAGTTCTGAAACAGTACTTCATTAGCATCATTGGCATACTTTAGAGTGGCTAAAATGGTCGTGGGTTCGCACCTCTCCATTACGTGGAGTTTTCTTTACGATTCTAACACTTAAAAAGATGCCATTTATTAATAAAAAAAAGGAGCAGTTTAACACCTAAATAGAGACATTGTTTAGTTTCTGTCATCACGAGGAAACAGAGAAGAGAGAGACACGGAGATGTAACGAACAAAACAAAATTAATTCAGAGAAATTCCTGATTAAATCGACGTCTTACAACGAGTTTAAATGTAATTCTAGTAATTAATCACCGAGATTTTTAGCAAGTTTTGAGAATTCGCTCGTTGGATATAAAATTATTTTCAAGGAAATTCAGTTCACATTCAATTCGAGAGAAGATTTGGGAAAAGAAAAGATAAGTTTTATCATACGATATGTGGAATTGAGGGAGACTTCTCTCTACACAATTCTCTCTATAAATGGAAAAAAATTGAAGCGGTTACTTTAAAATAATATCACGATATCGAAGAGATCGGAAGTTGATTTAGTTACCAGAAGTTTGAAACAATAGAAGAGCTTAGAACCAATGGATGGTCCAAAAGTTTTTATAGGGGATTGCATGAAGGAAACAATAATACATTTTATAAAATCCTTTA